TATGTTAATTCCAGATGTAGCTTCACTGAAAAACAAAATAATCCAGAGCACAATAAAATGTACAAGTATGCATGTTGTCAGGTTATATATACACACCCATTTACCATTGTTGAGGTACACCTATCAAACTACTTTAGTCTAGAACAGCTATTTGAAACGTCGACAAATAAAGACAACTTTTTTTGCATTAGCAAGGATTTTTGTCACCTTGCTGTTACCAATGTCAAGGCTGAACTTCCATACTGTTAGTGAGGTGTCAATTCAACCTCTAATGTTGGATGTTGTGTTTCCAATACTAGTCAATCAATTTATATCAGTAAGATGCTATATATTAGAAGTGCCACTCAGTATATTGTGCAATTCAACCGCACTAAAATACATAAATACAGCAATTTGTGGTTCTGTTGAACTGCGGTGTCATGACGGGTATTTCTTTTATTTTATTGTTCATATACTTCTTTGTATAATGCAGAACAGTTCAACAGCAACTGCTGGCTTCAAAATGACAGAGTTGAATCAGCACCTCTCAAAAACTGAACATTATCATGAAGGAGCACTGTTGTAACAGACTGTATGAGTTTCAAATATCTGCACCTCATAAACTGGCAAATGAGTGTATTTCAGTGAAAACATATGTACAGGTGTAATGATGATAGCGTCCATTTACACCACGTTACTTATATTATGTAGTGATATTTAATCCGCGCGTTAATGCAGCACAGCTACTTAAAATTGTGTTCCCAAAAAGACCGTTCGTATGTGCAAAATAATAAAAGCAGCTTTTAATAACTAATGGGGCCTAAAAACTCGTAAACATATATTTTGACTATAAACAGTTGATAACACTGTGTCTTTGATATTTTGTTCAACACCCCAACAAACCTAGCCAACGTCGGCTAACTTTAGCTCTTTTAGCTTTCTAGCCAAGGTCAGAGAAATCTCCGTAATATCAACGCTTTTAACATAACACCGACTAAACGTGAAGTTAACCTTTTCATTTCGTACACAATGACAATCGTGTGGCCTTAGCAAATTAGCAATTAAAGTGGTTTTATTATATGTTCTTCCATTCATTAAGCACCCCATTATCGTACTCACCTCAATGCTACGAGTGTTGTCTGTGACAGAACGTATCAGCGGAAGTGCTTCTTCTTCATGAAGAATAGTAGCAGCAGCTACTCCTCCACCACCCTCTGCTGGGCGGCCTGAGCACTTAAACTAAGTTCTACAGCCTACATTTTTATACGGAGTTTTTTTATACTTTTCCGGCGACAGTCGCGAATACACTTCGGGCTATATCTGCAAAAATGTTCTTTTTTTTTTTTTTTGCTGTAGGCCTAGACGTTATACACGACTGCTCCAGTTTAACACTGGCCCTAAAATAAACTTTAAGCCATGTTTCTAGAAGCTATTTAAGAAGGAGACAGCTGACATTGATTTGAAGCAGAATAAAGACAATGAAATAAAAATTGGATGAACACGGAAAAATTACTCAAATCCATTTTTTGAGACAAACAATAGCCTACAATCACGTGATCAACGAGCCTATATAACGAGCCTATAACCCTTTATATCGTTATTTCTAATACCATAATACTAGCACCAGTATGTACAAAAACATTTAACTTGCTATTGGAAAGAACGATTTAAGTATAGTGGGCTGTTTATGGTGACAAAGTGATCATGTGATTTTATATAAGAAAGCCGGTTTGGTCTTTAAAATATTTTTGGAGAAGAGTTGTGCTATAAGAGATATTTTGATGCCCATTTTGAAGTCCACACTGGTCTGCATCTCGTTGTGTAGCTTATGTGTTCTCAAAATGATACGCCTAGAAAAAATCGGCAGAGCCACCAGAAATTAAACAATGCTGATGTTGCTGTTAATTTGTTGCTGCTCTCTCAGTGTGTCTTGGGGTTATTTGACATAAGGGAACATAGCCAGGGGTAATGTCCTTTTGGCACATCTTGAGGTGCGCAGGGGGGATAGCTGATCCTTCGTCCTTACACACTGTAGCTGTGTCAGAAGAATAACTGCTGAATTATTAAACTGTGTCATCGTTTTACTGGACAGTAGAGATATTATCATATGGGATAACACACATTTGCGTTGGTTTACATGTTGTTGAATTAAAATGCAGGCTATTTGACTCAAACAGAATAGCCCATAGTGGTTTAACTTATATTATCACATCAGGTTCCAAATGAGAATTATTTAGGTAAACTTGAATTAAAATAATGGCACCTGACTGGAAAATACTACATTATTACTGAGCCATTTTCTAACGAGATATTAACAGATAAGTCAAATGCAGATGGATCCGGCAGCACTGGATGAACTTTGGCATTCCTCCCACGGAAATCTCGCTTTCATTAAAAAAAATAAGCCCATACCCTGTATAAAAGAAGTAAAACATTCACCTGCAGAACATCCCATTTACCTGCTCTAACATTTAGAAATATATAAAAATCTCATATTTCATGGATGAATTCTTCATAAACCTGCTGTAGTGAGTCATCAAACTCTAAGTTTATTTATTCATATGCAAAATATAAAACTGTGAAAAGGTATAAAATAAGTCAGCCGCTTCCAAGTCTTGTATAATATTTATTTACTAAAATCAGTTTTTACACGTTACTGAACATTTAGATAGACTGATGTGTGTACACAGTACAGATACAAAGATATTCAATAAATACCATTTCCCTGCCGCTCTTCGAGTGAGGCTGCAGAGCTTCATGAACACTACACATTTTATTTACATTTAGTAAAATTCCTCAAAAACAATCTACTAACGTTCCCACAAAAGTCACGTTGTGAGAGTAAGAACCGATCTAATATACATGGTTTCTAAAATATAATTTTGCTCCATGTTTACAAAATACAGAAATCGCGACATGACCTGCTATAAGGAAATGCAGACATTCAACAACAACTCTGAGAAACGGCGGTTTTACTCGATGATTGCAGAAAACAGCCCATGATGAAAGAGGAGAAGTACTTTAAGTGATACACTGGTCGTAAGGCACTGACACAGTTTAAGTACTTTTCTGTTGGCTTTAAGTATTTTCCCTCTGCTTCAGTCGATTATTGCCTTCGTGTCTGAACACCCCTTCAATGCCCAGTTTGCCGAACTGGGGAGCACGGTGCGTGGACTGGAATGATTAAGGCATGTTGGTTAAAAAACCTTACATCTAATTTGGAGTTTTGCCTAATGCCCCTGGATCCACAATCCACAACACTGGACACTATCTTAAAATAAGGATAGCAAGTGAAAAATTTTGGTCCATTAACGCACACAAGTGTATATCAAAATATGTCCGAAATTTTAATTGTTTTATTGTTCTGAAGTTAGAAACACTTATCTAAGTTCCAAATTCAAAATACAAAAACGGTTTCCCGAGAGATCATCCTCATTCATATGTGTATTGCCACAGTGATCAGAAGACATTATTTTTCTCTTAAAACCATAAACACATACAGGAATGCTAAGACAAATAGTACATCCCATAAGAGACGGGTCCACTGAAGAGTCCTGGCACCGGCAGACTGGGCCTGGGGAAGGCGCTCGACTGACCCCATGATGGAGAGCCCATATGCGCTGCGAGGGGGAACGGCAGCGCGAAGGCAGGCAGGACGGGCTTGGAGGCCAGTTTAAACTTTTCCAACTCGGCTTCCTGGAGTCTCTTGGCTTTGGCCCTCCTGTTTTGAAACCAAATTTTGACCTGAGTCTCCGTTAGGTTGAGAGAGTTGGAGAACTCGGCTCTCTCTGCGATGGAGAGATATTGCTTCTGACGAAACTTGCGTTCCAGCGCCAGCAGCTGAGAGGTAGTGAAGGGTGTTCGAGGTTTCCTGTTGTTTTTGTGTTTCCTTAAAGTACATTGAGTTGGACTTGTGCTCCCTATTAAAGAAAAATGACAAAGAAAAAATGCAGAGGTTAGATGTAAGTTTAATTCATTGAGCATCAACACAGGTGAACATATGAGCATTTAAGACTGGATGCAAACATAAACACGAGCCAGTAAAAGGGTTATGACAATGTTGACCAGGAACTGATCAGGTTTAAACGGGACTCGCGAAGCTGAATCTTTTTGTCACAGGATTTTATGTTTGCTTACCTGTATCACTAACATCTATAGGTAAAAATATATCAAATAAAATCCTGACAAAGGCCCAATGCAACAGCTAAATGTGCGTTTCACATGCTCAGTGGCACAATACTTTAGCATTAATTATCTGTTTGTTAGACATTACAAAGAGCAACATGCAAGAAAGAACTTTACGCACAGTCAGTGGAGCTATTTAGACAATATGAACGTTATAGTGACACAACAGGGAATTACACTTTTGCGTAACTATGGCTTTATAACACACTGACACTCTTGCAGCCTTTATTGTTGCCAGTAAAAATGATGAATAAATGTTTGTCCTTGTTTGGGAGCTCGCAAAACTGTGCAGTGGGATGGACTTACGAGGAGGAGTAGAGAAGGAGGACGTCTGGAACCAAGTGTTCTGATCTTTCTCACAAAACTTCGGACTGTCCTCGCTGGAACTACTAGAAACACCCTGCGAGCTCTCCGCTGACACCTTCCTCTCCGCGTAAAAAGTCCTTGGAGAGAACTGCGCGCCCTGCTCCGCTACAGGCTTGGTCAGAGCCAGAGTTAAATCTGACGGAGAATAAGAAGTCCGACAGGTGTTCTTCTTGGAAATCAACGACTCGACGCTAAACGGGAGGGTGCTCCGCTGTACTTTGTATCCTTTCTCAGTGGACATGTCTTTAGGCTGAAGTTCCTCTCCCTCTGTATCCGTCTCCTCTTTTTGATGAAGCTGTTTGGCGTCTTGGGACGGAGACCCCTGCACAGGATTCATCATGACACAAGGGGATGGGGCCATGCACCTCCGTATGACGCGATTAGAGGAATGGGGGGTCTACAATGTCCAATATGCGTCTCTACGCTTTCGGAGGTGCCCAGAAGCTTTTACGCGCTGGACGGGGTAGCCTATAAAAGGACAGGGGCAGGTCCCCCTCCGCGCTCCCACCAATCAATTCGTCGACATGGCCTCGTGACGTCTGCGAGTGCGATTCTGATTGGTCCGCTGCCTTTCAGGGCTCATCAAGAGGCCTTTGAAAGAAAGGAGAAGTTAATCATACAGACCCCTTGCGGCGCACGACTATTGATGGATCCTACAAAGTAGCTTAGACCAATTTCAGCGCAATTAACCAGTGGGGAGGACTGACTTGGCCATTTACATCCATTAGCCGGACACTGCATTGGTACTATTCGTTGAATTACTCTCCTAATGTGAAGCTGAGCAGAAACTAAAGATACACAACTAATGTCCAAAATCAAAGTAACAGTTTAATCACAGAAAACTGAACAAAATTAACATATGTCGAAGTCACATATTAAAATATAGCCTAACACAGGAACATAACATTAAATGATATTAAATAATAAACGTGTAAAACTGTACAAATAAAAACGATTATCACAAATAAACTGAGAATCACACCAGATAAGGCAACGTGCGCAGCCAGGGTAGAAGCTGGTCAGCTATGACTCTGGTCACACAGCATTATGGCAATTTAAAGCCTGTCATGAGCTCTTCTCGTTGCACAATGGCCGCAGTTGAGGAGCAACGGGCGTTTTCTTTCTCCAGGTCAAACTCTTTAATAAGCCAGACAAGTTGTGTTTTGCAAGGCGCCAGACTCGGCGGGATCAAAAAGGAAGATACCTCGGGGAGAAAAGGCGACGGTTAACTCCACTTAACCAATTGTCCTCCAAATATTTCATAGTCCAGTGCATGGAGCTGGGAGGAAGCAAGCGCTGAAAGTTAACTGTTTCACGTCCTGTCTGGAACCGATCGATTTGACATGTTTGATTAAAATGATGGCACCAAAAATTCACAAAATACATATTGCATTCATAAAAAATAACTGTAAAGTGTACTGATTGTGGGAAATGCCATCATTGTGCTGATTAGCAGCGGTATGTGCATGGCCAGTTGTGATGGTTTTAATTCCCTGTGGTGAATAAAAGTTGATGAAGTCAGAATTCAGGTCATTTTTAATTAAAATATCAACATGGCTGTGGAAAATCAGTCTACTGCAGGTGAAAGTCCTGGATTCAAATATCTACTTGAATAAAAATTACAGCAGTATGTGATCAGTAAAATGTGCTTATGCTATCAAAAGTTCCAGTCAGACATTACTGAACAAGAATCACATGTAAACTTTAATGTGGTCAAAGCTAAACTAATTTATTTAATTTATTATTATTTATTTAATTAATTTAAACCTATAATAAATCATCATAGTTTAGACACTGCATATGTTTGTAAATAATGTCTTAATGTACAAAAATTAATTCAAAATATCTTCAGTTATTTCAAAATTGTACCTAATTACAGTATTTGAATACATGCGTCCCGATACGTTTCACCACTGGTTGCTGTCCATCTGCTTCTATGTCATATACAAATTATTTCCCTTCAAGAGTTTAGTCTGGTTGCAAAGATAAATGTAGAGTCCTCAAACTTCATGATGTTTATGATCTCTATTCTTTCCCTTCATTATGTCCAAGTTGATGCTGCACTGACTCAAGTCAGCTGTGGTGTCGCCTCCTGGACATCATCAGTCCAGCCAAATACAAGACCCGGCTGAGAGCTTGCACTATCTGAGGACCTATATGCTCAGCTTTTCCAACCTGTTCTGACCCAGCAAATACAATTATTAGCCCCCTTCACATTTCATATTTTTTAATTGGATGAAATAAAATGATTCACTTATTAGACTTGCCTTGTTATCAGTTGTGTTTTACAGCCCTACAGTATATCACAGTATACTTAAAGAAGCTGCTGTTTTCCAGTAAAACAACCAAACAAAATGTGTTTCACTGACAAAACTCTTGGGTGAAATCATTGATGTTTGGCCACTTGACAACCCCTCAGGTGCAAAGAACAGTTTACCTCTCATCAGGCTAGAGCCACAGCTTTTGGTTGATGACTCAACTTGAGTAAATCCTGATGTTCAGTCCATTCCTTCATTTCTTATCTGACAAAGCCAGCCCTCTGTCTCCTCACACACTGGGGGCCTCCCGTCACCCAGCTGGTTTGGGTTTAAATCCCAGCGACCGTGTAGCCCCCTTCCCTCTACCTCTTCTCCGTAGTGTCGTGTAAGAAGGGGATGAGAGGAGCTCACGGGCTCATACAGAGATTCATCCGATGCAGGTACACCCAGAGATAAAACTACACAAGAAGAACAGATACCTCTCCTCCCCTGGTGTTTGGTCTAGTGTATTGAGCTTCGGGGCCCCTGCTCTCCTACCCAAAAAGACATTTCTGTAACAGCGTGCAGGCAAGTGAACTGTGTCAGAAGGTGTTAGTGAGTTTGAAAGCAGATCTGCCTTTCAAGGTCAGTGCAAGCGCAGTGGGAAGTGCTTTTCCCTGAACTGACAGCAGAAATGAAAACTTTTTCAGTTGTATGCGTGGGGGCCATTTCTAATAATCTCCTGCTTCGATGAAACCATAATCCAGTTCATAAAGTGCAAGAACCAAGGGGCAGTGCAACAAGCTACATGAGAAATCTATCTTATGTGCTTCCAAAGTGATTCTCATATCACACATTGAGCTAAAGATGATTCAGTCCTCCTCTGAATGAGCTGAGGCTGTATGCTTCAGGTGCACCACTTTGCAGGATCCCAGGTAAGCTGGTGTTTGTCCTCCATCATCCTGTGTGAATTCCCAGCTGTAGCAAGGCCCTCTAACAAACAAACCGATCATTTAAAGAAGCGAATGAGCCATGGAGCCCAATTTTTGTGAGACATGTCAACAGTGCCACAAAGACCAGTAGCTACAGGCCTCGACCTGATGGATGCTTTGGGGACATGACAGTGTGGAGTAGATAGGGACTAGTGAGTGTACTGTCCTCACTCTCATTTTTCTTGAAATTGGCTCAAAAACTATTCTGAAGATGACCAAGACTGACATTTCTATAGGTAAATTTAGAATGAGTTCATCATGTATTATTTTGCTTTTCTTTCTCAGTCAGCACCTCGGCTTGTTCACCTTCCTTCTTTAATGTGACAAGCATACTCTCCATTTAACAACAATCTAAATAGCAGTTCTTTGGGTTGCGTAACACTGCAGGTAATCTAAGTCCTGCACTTAAATGCTGCCTTCACATTTTCTACCAAAGCCACTTCCTCATGAGTGTCTTGTGTTTGTCTGGCTGCCAGTGAGACAAATATTCCCGCCTTGCTGAGGTCAAGGAAGCAAAGTGCCTTCATGATGGACAATAAAAAAGCAACCAGGGTATACTTAGAAAATCCTGTGGTTTTATAGCTGCTGTTTTTGAGCCAAACCAAAACACAACAAGATTTGTTTCATTTGCCTGTAATGGAAAAATTAGCATTTTAAACGTGAGCTGAAGTGAATGTTTGATTCACACGCTGATAGCTGCATAAAATACAACATCTTTAATATTGTTTCCCATTCTAGTATCTTCTAAAACAGCTGTTTTCATTGAGAAGGTCCGTCCTCAACTGTGCTGCCAGTAGAGGTTATTTGAGAAAAACCACAAGAGGTGACAGTGCAATTGACAATTTCGGCCGGCTTGCCGTCGGCCATAGAAATCCACATTCTTGAGGAAAGTCTAGAGACAATGCAAGTGGGCGAGTTAGGTTGAGGACTGGGGACGAGCAACTCTGTGTGGCTTCTCTGTGGTCTCATTCACAAACCGAAGAATGTCGACACAGACTCATAGCCTGTATGCAGTGCATCTGAAAAACAAACAAACAAAGAAACAAGACAGCAACATCAGAATTCCTTTTTACAGCTGGCTTCAAATCCCAGCAAGACCAAAACCAGTACCTACTGTATAAATTACACCACTTTGGTGCAAATGATCTGAATTTTGTTTCTTTTTTATATCATAAAATGTGAGAAATTTGTTGCAATTTTCATCATAAAATTTTTCTCTATCAGAGATAATCTTTCCCTCTTTATGGTTGAAATTCCAGTAAAAGATTATACTAATAATTTGTAGATGTATTATTATACAACAGAAACAATAGTCATAATCACACCTGTGATAACAAAACTAGCTCCTCCTAAGCACAACAATGTATTTTTGTACTGTAGATAAAAATGGCTAAATGTGTGATGTATTGGTTCCAGTTATGAAGCATAAATAAATTCTAACACTCAAAGATTCAATGGACAGCCCTCATGTCTTAGGCTAACTTCTCATGTAAATCTTTTAGAATGCAACAAAAGTGATACATTTACCTTGGCAATGCTTGTGTGATGGTAATAATGTTGTTGCAGGCACCAAAGGTCAGAACAAATTGTGTGTTTGAGTATTCTGAGATTACAATTTCAAAGTCCTCCCCATGAGAAGTTGAACAATGGAGAGGGTGGGAAGTTCAAAAAGTGGGGTCTCTTTCAAATAAACAAGCATGGCTTGATTCTGAATAGGGCCGCTCCCGAGCAGCCGGATTGGTTCTCAGAAGATCGAGAGCAGCGACTCTTCAGGCTCTCTGCCTCCGCCTCCTCCAGCAGCTCCCAAATGAACCAATGTGGTAAACACAAACAACCTGATGGAGCCTCACGACTATAATTTAACACTTTACTCCATTTCTTTATCCCACCTTTTATCTCTTCTTTACAGGCCTTTCTATCCCAGTGAACAGAGCATGGGCGGGAAAGTAGATGAGGGCAAGACCCCCCCCCTCCTTTTTTTGTGCTATTGCTTAATGAGCCTGAAAATACAATTGCAGTGTTCTGACTGTGAAGGTAGCCTGCAGGCTAGTGTAAATTAGCAACGCGAGGAAGCCCAGAGGGCCGAGTCTTGCTGAGTAGCCAGAATAGAGAGAAGTGGTGAGAGGGGGAAATCCTGTTAGGGCAGTGCATGTGGAGGAATCACGGTGCGTTTTCAACCCGACTGGAGCTCCCAGGCCCACTTGTTGCAATGACAAGCCTCGCATCCACAGCAATCTCACTTGCTGATGTGTGATGTTTATTGAGATGGCACCACGGCCATGTGTACTGGCATCCATTATGTGAGATGTTAAGTGTTTGTCATATTTCAAACCCATAATTTCAGCTAGTTCCACACAATGGCTGTTTTGAGACGCTGTCTCAATCATCATTCACTTTATTTTCCTATTCTTCTGTAGATTCCAAGGCGAGGCTGCCGAGGCGAGAGTCTCCCACATTTCATATGTCCTCTCTTGAGCTCGAGGTGCTCTTTTGACCGCTCCGCCAGGCATCTGCTGCCCATAGCCTGCCCATATCTGCATTCTAATGGACATATCCTGCTGGGATGTTAACTTTAGGCCCTCGGTAATTGATGGCTTCCACACTTCAGATGAGTCCCCCCTTTTTCCTTCTCCCTGCTGATTGTTGGTATATCTCTGTGGTTTGGGGGTCTTTCAGTCAACCATTGTTCTTTTATGGCGGAATTATAATAGACTAAAGGAGAGGAAGAAAAGAGAAAGAGAGAAAGGGGGAGGAGAGGGGAGGGAGTAAAAAGAGAGTTGCTGCTGATATTTAGTGAACTCCAAAGGGGGAGTTTTCATTCTCATTCTGCAAGTTTGGCACATGCCTTCTGTTACTAAGTGGCAGTGCATTGAAAGAGTGCCTCGCATTTCCCATTCTGCGGCTCTGCTAGGTGCCTAGACTTACAACCCTGGCAGCTGTTGGGCCTTCTATGCAACTATAGACCTCTCTCCACAGGTGAGCTCCCCTACCAAACTCTTAGTCTCCACTTCACTCAATAGGGCCTTTTTCAGGTCTTTTATCAGTGAGGAGAGTGTGACTCTATGTGTGCCACTCACACAACTGCAGTTCATGGTTCTCAAGATTGCAATTAATGTTCCGCATTGTGTTACACATGCAGTTCAATTCAGCACTGGGATGATTTATATCTTTGTTTCAGCGTCATCTTCTCAGGCTCACTTGTGTGCACTGTAATTACATTATCCACCAACAAACATAGGCAGGCATCAGAGGAACAAACAGCGTGTCTGCCCTTTTCTTAGGCTTATCTCAAATAAACAATTAACCAAAACAAATCTTTGGAAAAAATAGTACAGCACATTTAAAGAAACATAAACAAACAGTTTTCATATTTAATGAATCTCAAATGTGCCATGAATGAGTGTTTATAGGATGTGAAAAGTGGCCAGTAGTTGGGTCT